TGCCAATAATCAGTTTGCTTCACTGATGAGCGAAGAATTATTGCCCAGCCCAACCAGAATGTGTAGTTTCTAAACCTGTCCCCTGCTCCCTAAAACAGGGACGTCTTGAAGATTTGTGGAGTTGGACGGGTGAGGGTGACAATTGAAGTACCCCTGAAGGGTACGTGCAACGTGGCATCGTGGTAAGTCTATTCTCTGCTGCATATCTGGGGCGCTGAGGTCAACCCCCAAAAAAGCTCTAGAGACCATAATTGGAATTGATCCCCTGGACATCCAGGCGCAACTGACTGCGGGAAAGACTGCACAACGTCTAGTAGAGCTAGGAAACATGTCGACACAAGGATATGGGCACAGCTCAATTGGTCGAACAGACACCTTGCCGTGATGTAAAAACATCAACATTCATGGGACCTGAAGACTGGAAAACGGTTCAGGACCATACCTCAACATATACACTGACGGCTCCAAGATGGAAGGAAGAGTTGGAGCAGGCATATACTTTACCGACCCCGAGACGAGGCTGTCGTATAAGCTACCAAGCCAATACAGCATATTCCAGGTGGAAGTCTTCGCCATCAAAAGAAAACGTCCCAGTCTCTCCAAGAATGCTCCAAATCGAGTTGGAGAGGCGGGCGGACCTACTAGCAAAAAGCAGGTGGAGAGGAAACTCCGCAACCTGCAAAACATCCTAAATCATGTGCAAAGAGTGCAATGACAAACTCAGTCACTACGTACTGCATCTATCCCGAAAATACTGCAACTATTAGTGGGAATTCTTACGGGTCACTGCCTGACTGAAGCGCATGCAATTAGGCTGGGCGTCGCAAACAATGGCAACTGCAGGAAATGCGATAAATCTGAGGCAACCGAAACCTTGGACCATTTCATCTGTAAGTGCCTAGCCCTAACGCAGGCCGGATAAATAAGGGCCACACTGGCCTATGATTGGTCCCCTCAGGAGGGCCGTCCGGTTCAACCACTAAGCAAGAAACACATAGAGGTGTCAAACAGTACCAAAAAGTACTATCACAAAAACGGCTGAGCCTGGAACCCCAGAGCACCCGAACGATATGTCTAGAACCCCAGAGTGCCTTCGGCTTTTTCGAGTTCGAAGCAGTCGTTCGAAACCGAGCACAACAAGAATTCACTTTTCAGTGGCAGATCGACCGTGGAAGGATGAGCAGGGGTGCGTTTCTTTGCGCTGTGCTCTCGTTTCTTTGTATATGTGTATATGTGTACAAGCGCTCACACGTTTGTATGCGTGTGCTAATTTCTGTTCGCAGAGTCTTTTTCATAGGTTTCGGACGACAACAGCCAGTGGGCCGAAGCGGCGGCTCACTTGCTTATGACGTCACAGCAATACTTAGCCAGCGCTTGCATTTGGGGACAAATTATTTAAGTTATCTAACTATAATTACCATTTATTTTAATTTAAATTTTGTTTTTCCTGACAATATATTTCCCAAAAGTCATTTTGTTGATGAATCATCGATGAATTGTTCATGAATTTGTTGATGAATTGTTGATGAATCATCGATGAATTGTTGATGAATCATCGATGAATTGTTGATGATTAATCGATGAATTGTTGATGATACGGTGATAATTTTGTTCTTCTAAACGCATCAAATAAAACGAAAAGTCACTTCAAGCCGCTATTCTATAGATTTATAGTCTTACAGCTTGGACCACTAAAAACCTACCCACTTCAGTAAAATAAAAAAAAAAAGTAACAGAAGATATATAAACCAATGGAAAATATTTTTCTAGATTCTGAATAAATAATTATCTATATATATAAAAACTAGCTGTACCCTGCCACGTTTCTCTGTGGCATATTGTGGTTAAGAGGGCACTTCTGAATACATCAAGGTTATGGCAAAAGGTTCTTCCTGGCATAAGGTGAAGAAGGCAGTCAGAGTTGTCGTAGGCGGATTCAGGACTCTTTCTTGCACATTTAGTTCTATGAAATAGACACGTTGACCATTCTCCAAATTGACTGCCAAGTGAACTACAGCTGGATAGCGTTCATGAATTGGGAACGAAAAAATTCGCCATGCAGCCTCGTTGCTGCTTATGTATCTCCCAGCCTGGTATTGAGAGATTTCATCGACAACTCGTACTGCATTGCTGTCACCATTTTTTGCCTGAACACCAAAAACTGCCATATCGCTGCCTTTATTCACGTACTTGCAGTTATATTTAATCGATTTCACGGAATTGCAATATTCTACGTTGATGTGCGCTTTGTATGATTTTGACAATAGTGATGAGTATGGAACCACCCAACGATTGTCTACCTCAATATCACCAATTCTCATGTTTAAAGTTGCCGAAGTCCCTCCATCTTCAGTTGACCGTCTCCTATACAGAGGATATCCATCGTCCCCTGTTACGGTGTTGGCTGTAAATGCTCGAGGATATCGCTTGGAACACTTCTCGTCTACCATTCATGGTGAACATGGGTTGAGGGTACCACAAGGGCCATGGATCATGTTCTTGATGACAACTTCATGCAAATATGTATCAACCTCGGCCCGTGGAATCTCAGCGCATATAACATCGTCGATTTCGTCTTGAGTAATTTTATCATACATTCAAATCAGTATGTGCGCATGCGGCAATCCTCTCTTCTGCCATTCTACTGAATACATCCAGCACCGCACAGATCCAAAAACTTCATGTTTCACAATGAAATCCATCAGTGACTTGAGCTTTTGTCTGAAAACACGGGTTGTGATGTCATGCCTATCCCTATGTGATTGTCCAGGAAATAACAGCTGTACTATCTCGTTCCAAGCTGGATTGCATGTGAAGGTGATAAATAAGTCTGGACGGCCGTAGCAACGAACATATGCCATGGCATCTTGAGCATATTCATTCATGTGGCGTGGACTACCTATGTATGAGGATGGCAAAATCGTGAGCTTTCCAACGTTGGTTGTATTACGGTCATTCATCACAGCATCCCGCAAATGGATACATTCCTCGGACCGAAGCTTCGTCTGATTCAATCGAAGGAGCCTGGCAGTATATGCAGACCTGATGCATCCGGCCAATAACGACATTGCGATTCGAGCTGTAATCAACAGTTGGATTATATCTGAATGCAAGACGATTGTATTGCAGGTTTTAATCTGCTGCAAGCTGTAAACGCGCTTCAGCTACCCTTGCCCTGTCACGTTCATTATTTTGAGAGTGAATCAAATCGATTGCTGCAGAACGCGACTGCCTAACTCTCAATCGTTTTTTCTCAAGCCTATCTGCTCATCTTTCTGCTGATTCCGCGTTGTGCATCTTCATTGCTCTTAGCCGCTCAGTCTCTCGGATGGAGGCCCGCTCTTCGTCAGTCATATTCGTAATCTTTCGTCTTTTTGCTTCTGTATTGCGAGTACGACGACCCAAACTCGACTTTTTGGGTGGCATGACTTCGTTTCTTACTGAACCTGAACAAAAAAATAAAATTTTAATCTCCAATTTCTTCTTTCAATATGTTTTGAATGTTTGACAGGAAATGCTTTGATTCAGCTGGCTGCCTGTAGAGGGCGCAGCAGTAGGGGCACGGGGAAACGCTAAAAAAAGTGATATATTCGCAAATGCAGATAAGCTATCAACATCAAAAGTAGACAATAACCGAACTGGAACCTCAACGCATGTTCTCTAAAAATTTGGGCTTAAACGGTTCAGAACTTTTCAAGTTTCTTCTTTCAATATGTTTTGAGTGTTTGACAGGAAATGCTTTGATTCAGCTGGCTGCCTGTAGAGGGCGCAGCAGTAGGGGCACGGGGAAACGCTAAAAAAATTGATATATTCGCAACCGCAGATAAGCTATCAACATCAAAAGTAGACAATAACCGAGCTGGAACCTCAACGCATGTTGTGTAAAAATTTGGGCTTAAACGGTTCAGAACTTTTCAAGTCTATGAAGGAAGTAGACACAAACAGAGCATTTTTACATATATAGATGTAATCCGTTTAAATTCATTTAAATATAACTTTATAAAGTTTGTTTACAAAAAACCGCTTCCTTCAGCTGTCTGTGTGTTCTTTAATTTTATTGGTCAAACTGGAAACAATCAACGGTCAATGAATTTTCAAAATACAGTAGTGCCTTGCGATAATCACGCTTCTAACTCTGAACTTAGTGATCTTGTTTATAATTATTTACTATTGCTCTGAACTTAATAATTTTGTTTGTAATTACTATTATTTATTTTATATCAAAGTGATTTCCGCCGAAGTTTAGTGCTGAACACAAATCTGAAATCGAAAAATGCCTATCACGTCATGATTTTGAGAATAGTATGCTAAAGACACAAGAAAAAATGTTTTTGAATGTTTTTTTAACCCCTAATTTTTTTCTGAAGCCTAGACTTAAATTTGTCCTTCAAACAAAGCTTGGTTCTTTATGTAGGATAGTTTTAAAACAAATTAAATATAATAAGTAAACTAAAGGACCGATCAGCATAAGCTCCATTATACATAAAAGGCCGGTAAGATTAATGGACGTCTGCATCCTTAACTTAGGTTTATCGATCATAGTTCGTGCATTCCATTATAAGATAAGCTGTTTAAAATAGTTAACTAAACGATAAACATAGTTTCAGGAAATAATGTATGCATAAATGTAAATTCTAAATAAAGTTATGGTGATACAAATTTCAGTGGGTCAGCATGATATAATTACTGTTATATATATATAGATACAATTTTTTAATACAAATGTTAAACTGGCTTGGGAAACACCTAGTGTTCACATAGTATACATAGGTACAAGCCTCGTCCCAACCTACCTACCTGTAACATATTTTAACAAATTTTAAAACGAAAATTGGTTTAATTTTTATTTCAAAAAAATTAATGTACCATAATAAATGTTATAATATATATATTCTATAATCGAAAAATTTTCAATACCGTACACATATAATTAGAATAAGAATAAAGGGAGTTTACATTAGTAACGCAAATGCCAACCACATAAAGAAAGTGTATCCAAATTTAAAAATAAACATTAATTTAATTTGCCTTTCTGTACTTCGCACCTACATCTGTAATAGACAAACTACAAGGAAAACCGCGATTATCGGGAATTGTGAGTTATACATTTTAATTCGTTGAGGAATAAGTATCATTATTCTTCTCACATTCATTTTATCATATATAGTACATATTTTTTTAACTACAACTTGCTGGTCAACATTTAGATTTTTACAATGTTAAAATAAAATAAAAATAATTTATATATTTAGACTCAGAAATGTACAGTTGCATTGAAAAAGATATTTTTGAAACACACGTTTTTATGATAATTTATAACTTTTTTAACCTTTAGTAGCCTAAAACACTATATTTTTATAAAATAATACGAAATGTGAATAAGTAATAGGTAAATCACAAAATTGGTTGTAATATAAAATATATTGAACGGAGCAAAGAAGGTGTTTATCAAATTCATCTATTTTTAAAGAGCTTGTTCCGGTTGTCGTTCTTTAAATTTTAAAGTTTCCTCAAAAATTAATGACTTCAAGGCATCACGAGATATATCATCATTTTCCATATTTATGCGAAAGGGTACTTCAGCGATAGGCTAAATACAAATAAAAGTTAAATATAATAATATAATAACTATTTTTTATTTTTAACCAGAACGGAAGCTAACTTCGGAACGCCGAAGTTTATATTGCAAATTAAATTATATCAGAGTAAATTTAAACAATAAAGGAAGCTAACTTCCGTACGCCAAAGTGTATATACCCTTGCAGATTGAAAATCAATAACTTGGCATTAATGGCATATAAATAATATATATATGTTAAAAAACAATAAAGTAGTGCCTGCTTTCGTTCAATCACCTATACATATTATATTTACAGTTTGACATGTAGAGTTTTCCATTTTCGTATATTTTTAACGATCGTTTGTATGGAAGCTATATGATTTAGTCGTCAGATTTTCATAAAATTTTACAACAAATCAACAGATTTTAATCAAATACGAGATATAGCCATTTTACTATATCTCGTATTTGATCAAAATCTGTTGAAAACTAAAACAATTATAACTTTTAATTGTATTAGTCAGATTTTCATATAATTTTACATTAAATTTAAATTTTTATCTAAAATTTTATGAAAATCTGTTAAAAACTGGAAAAGATATCATTTTTTTTAAATTTTCCAATGATTCCTACGGCAGCAATATGATATAGTCGTCCAGTCACCCGTTCCGAAATATATACGAGTGAGAGTATAAAGAAGACTAACTTTCATTGAGATAGCTTCAAAACTGAGGGATTAGTTTGCGTAGAAACGGACATACGGACGGACAGACGGACGAACAGACGGACGAACAGACGGACGAACAGACGGACATGGCTAGATCGACTGGGCTCTTCAGAAATGGAAAACGGAATGGAAAAATGGAAATGAACTTTATATGGTCGAAATGTCTCCATCACTGCGTTGCAAACTTCTGACTGAAATTATAATACTCTGCAAGGGTATAAATAATAAATTTTTAATTTTTGTTCAAATAATTTCCCAATTCCCCCTATATTAGCTATATAGTGACATATTCACAAATTCTGTTAAGTTCCAAGAAATATGAATCTGCAGCGTAGGCGATCCCACGCTGAACCAATGTAAACAATCCACATCCGGAGCAAGCAATGCTCCTTCTCAATAACATAAATAATTCTTCAATCAATATCCCAAGCGGGCGATCTCGCTCCCCAACTCTTGTAAACAAAGGGCAGTAGAAGTAAGATTTTTGTCACAATAATTTAGTCTTAAGCTCAGATCATTTGAATAAAGACGTGAAGCGGAATATTCGTTTTATTAATTCAACTTAGCGTTGTCCTTAGTCAACTGACGGGACATTAGTTCGACTCACAAAACAGAAACACTTCACTATATAATATAGATGTCTATATTTCCGATTTGCAACAAAAAGACGATATATTTAAAGATTGATTTATTCATTCAAGATATGAATATTTAAATATAGCCTCGTTTTGTTGCATATACATAGCTGAAAAACTGAGACTAGTTCAAATGGCAGCAACCAGAAAAATCTTTAGGATCTCAACAGATGTTGGCAACTCACTGATAACCGAAACTTAAAATTTTTTCTAGGCAAATTCGTGAATCAAATCCTTAATATCTTTTGGAAAATCTTTAACAATTTAACCTGATAACCTGCCCGGCTGTGGATTCGTGGTTTCGGCCATGCAGACGCCACCCACAGCTGGCCCCTCTATCAAAGGGGAAGCCTCGACTCTTAACGTAAGAGGACTCTGTGAAGGACAAGAAGGACATCAAGGAAATCTTCGTTTCTCTCTCTGATGATAGTTCCAGACCGTCCTTTCCTACTCGCTCTATCGACGTTGCGTCTGAGATCCGCAGAGTAGCTTCCAAGCGTGCTCAGCGTATGAGCTCTGTGATCCCGAAGCCCTGTGGGAAGTCCGCTATCCCTAAGATTATTTCAGAGCCTTCGATTCTACTGGCTCCTCCCCGAATGCTGACTCTGACATTCTGCCTGAATGGAAATCGAACGGAATGGATCATGCGTTTTTGTTAAGCTGTATTGGTTGGCAGGGGGTGCAGCCTAAGGGGAGACAACTGCATAACTTGGCACCGTATACCAAAAAAGAAACAGCTTCGCTGAGTCACGTTCCCAGCAGACCAATACTCCACTTGCCAATAATCAGTTTGCTTCACTGATGAGCGTTGATGATGATGACATGGTAGAAAAGAAAATATACCGATTTCTGCTTAGGCGCTTGTAGCAAACTCTGCTCCTACTTGTATTGTCTCTAGATCCAGTCTGCTGAAACCAGGATTTTGTCTCTCTGCCTTCCAAGATTCGCTGGATAACGCCTTGAGCTCACCACCTCTCTAAACACGATGGAGGATGTGGGTTCAGCCAAGGCTTAGGGAGGCTGCTGCTGTTGTGGCCCACCAATGTCTCCAAGCTCTCTTACGGAGTCATTGTGTGCTCTTTTCTGAAGTAGAAGGATTGGTGCTGCTGAAGGCTAAGGCGTGAGTATATCGGCACATCCGACATAAGGATCAACAGTTTGTTTAGAAGGATCTCAAAAAGAGTAAGGAAAAAAATTTATTACTCAAGGCTGGAGCTATGGATCGTATGGAAGCTGACAAGATCCTATAAGAGGCAAGCTACTCCCAAGTTTCCTGGCGAAAAGTAGGATGGCACATGGGCAAGATCTACAAAAGACAGAGTTGAAGCTTTTGCTCAAAATCTGGAAGGTAAATTTACTCCCTATTTCAGCAGTCTCTACCCAGAGAGAACTCCCTGTGCAACTTGTAACCCTGCAGGAGATTAAAGAGGACAATAAAAAGCTAAATACCCAGAAAGCCCCTGGAGACGATAAAATTGACAATCGTGTCGCAAGAACTCTACCTCTCAGAGCACTGCTATACCTTATACTCATCTTAAATGCTTTCCTGAGGTTGAGCTATTTTCCGAAGGTTTGGAAGAGTGCTTGCATTGTAATGATCCTTAAACCTGGCAAACCACCCGAGGACCTCAACAGTTATCGGCCTATTAGCCTCCTTTCCACATTTGGTAAGCTTCTGGAAAGATGCATCCCTAGGAGATTGCGTCAGTCTCCGAAGGCAATGAACGCTCTTCCCAAATTTCAATTTGGGTTCAGACTCAGCCACGGCACCCCTAAGGGGTGCTGTAGACATACAGCAGGCGTTTGATAGGGTGTGGCATGGAGGGCTACTTTACAAGAGTAAGCCATTAATTAACCCGAAACTATTCGAAACGATTAGGAGCTTTTTCTCTGAAAGGATATTCAGGGTGGTCCATGAAACCCTTTCCTCTCAAAGGTCGATTGTAGATGGAGTTCCCCAAGGAAGCGTGATGGGACCGACGTTGTACAGCTTGTTTAACCACGAAATGCTGAAGTCCATGCGTCATGAGCAGTATTCAATGCTGGCCACATTTGCAGACGATACTGCGATTCTCTCCAGATCAAACTGTATTTATGACGCCATGGATAAGCTTCAGCTGTAACATATCCATTAACCCAGCAAAAGTGCGGTAGTGACGCACTTCCTCAGGAAGGAGGCGTGCCCTGGCTTGTACCTGGGGGTCACTTTAGACACCCGATTAACCTTCGCCAAGCATACGAGTACAGTAAGCCGCTTATTTGTTAGTGAAGGCAAATAATCACCTGAGCCTGGCAAATAAGGTCTGGATATACAAGTTCATCCTTGCACCCACTTGGAGGTGCGGGATTTAGGTTTATGGTATTGCGGCCAAAACAAATCTGAGTCACATCCAGGCATTCTAAAACAAGTTCCTGCGGAGAATTACTGGTGCTGAGTAGTTTATCCGTAACGTAGACATATCGAGAGTGTAGGAAGCACATATATTGAGGGTGCACTGTACCAATAAATTTAAACCAAAATCTATCAACAGCACATGTCTGTTTAAACAAACTCAAGTGGGTACGCTGGGTCATCATTTACACGCAAATTACTTCAGGTCATCGTTTCCACGCAGACCACTTAAAAGATCATATGCACATACTCTCTCCATAGGTCTCCACATAAGTATTTATATATTTAGCCTAAGCACATAGGCTAAGTTGAAAAGAATTAAACGACATTACATGGCGACCGTGACATATGGGACATCGATGGACCAGCATTGGAAGAACCTCCCATAAAGTGCGGAGGTCCAGCCACTCTCGTCTGTGTCGTTTGCACCCGTTGCTGGAGTTGTAATTGTTCGAGAAGCTGTCAAATCCAGGACTGGCATCGACACCGCTACGTTTGCCGTCCACCACTACTTGATCAGCCAATGGCGCCCCTAGTGAAACTCAAAAATAATAAGCGCCATAGAGGTTAAAAAGCCTACAAAACGCAGTGGTGTGATCGAGCGGACAAGGAAAAGGAAAATCGAACTGGTACAAAACTGACAACGCCATAAAGTGGGATATTGCTGTGAAATTACAAGCTGAATTTGATTTTCTGACAGAAATTCAGAAGTCAAAAGGAAGAACGGCAGCAGATGTTTCAAATACCAAATTAACTTAGTAACTAAAGAACATTGCTAAATCGAGCAGGTATACCCTGCCCGATAGAGAATGGCCTGCAAAGATTCAAACATTAGGTAGAGTTTTGTGTACAAAAAAAAAACAACATTTGTAGTCTTCTTTTCAAATATAGATGACCATAGAGACAAATAAAATAAGCAGATATAAATTTTAAATAACTAAATGAAACGAGTAATAATAATTTTACATCAATAAATTAGCTAAAAAAATACAAATATTATATTAAATGAAGCCTGTTGACTCGACTGCTAATGTAATAAATAAAATCGAAGTCAGCAACGTAAATTTAGAAATTATAACAATTCTAATTGTTATAATAATTGTCATAATAGTAGGTAATTTTTTGTTTAAATTATATAAGTTGCACAATAAATGTATAAGAAAGAGATACCAGAGCCAGGCTAATGACCTGGACAAGATTAAAAAAATATATATATATAGAAAAATTAAGAAATAAAAGAACACAGAAGAAAAATCCAAAGTATGTTTACACGTTT